AGTGGGTGCACGTTCGTGGCCAGAACATTATATAGATTGGCGCTTACACATATGTTAGTGTTTGGCCGAGCTTCTTTTCCAATTTGTGGCGTGCGCCTTAATGTTGTCACACAAAGCGGAGGGACCTACAGTTTTACGCCGACTCCGAACGGCGATTGTATTTTTATGAGAAGCCGGTTTTCATGGCAGAAATACACTCGGAGTTTTGCCATTGCCTGCCGAGGGGCGACCGCTGTAAAGAAAAAAAACCTTTCTTTTCTTTTTCTGAGATGTTGCTTTGGCCAGGTCTTGAACCCAGGCGCTGCGGAGTGGAAGCGCGCACTGCTTACCACTACACCACAGCGGCCACCAACGACCACGGCCAGAACATTGACATTGAAAAATCGACCCGTGGTAATGATATGCGATTGTAAAACACTTTCAATCATGAAAACCATATTTTATGAACTTTTTTTTGCTAATTGTCATCAAGTTTCACTTTGTATATTTTATAATAAAGGTAATTCTCTAGGGTGGGGTAACAACCCCTAAAAAATCCGGACGGGGGGGAGTAATATTATTAACCATTTAAAAGTTATGAACAAAAAACTTTTGTTAAATTTCGTTGAATGCACTAAATCACCAGTTTCCACTTTTAAAACACTCCTAAAACGTTTCCGTTATTCACTTTTATTTTATATATTTCGTTAATAAAACAGAGTAAACACACTGCGCCTGCTAAAATTATTATAACCTCAAATCGCTGGTATTGCCACTTTATTTCACATTTCATTTGCGCTATTATACTCAGTTTACACTATACACTTCTTCTTCTTCTTTTTACTTTCATCTAAATAAGATATTGTAACCAAAATATAATAGCAAATTTCGCTATACCATGGTAGCGCTACTTTACGGTTTACAGTTATTTTAGCTTTAATTAAAAGTAAGCGTCATGGAGTGTCAAATGTGCGATTTTACAATTACAAGCTTTTTAAAGCTAAAAGGAAAAGATTTGGAGGAGTTTTTAGTGGCTCATGGGGTCATGAGAGACTCTATTATTTATCGAAGTGTTGATTTTTATGAAAAAAGCGCCGCAGGCAAAAATTTTTATTAAAAAATGGAGCGATTTTTTATTAAAAATTTTCATTATTTATCAAAGTATTGATTTTTATGGAAAAAGCGCCGCAGGCGAAAATTTTTAATAAAAAATCGCGCGATTTTTTATTAAACATTTTCATTATTTATATATAAAACGAAAGAAGATGCCGAAAAGCATTGAACAGTGCACACATCTCATAAGGAAAAGTGAATTATTACGAAATACTAATACAGTGACAGCACCATAGCTATTTTGGAATCTCGCGTTTCAACTGGCAAAGATTGTCAACTTCTTTTTAATTGTAATATAGACGTCTACATTTTGAGACACTATTTGGAACGAACTGTGAACACCCCAACTATTTGGAACGAACTGTGAACACCCCAATTAACAAAATAATCTATCTTAGGTTGATTAAACTATGTGTTTCTTTAATAAATAAGTTAAATTATATATTTTAATAGTGTTTAAAAAGTGAGAACAGGTGATTTTGTGAATCTTTGTTGGTGTAATTGCTCATAGATTGTTATTAGAGGGGCCGAAACGCGTCGTTTGGTACCCCTCCCGACTTTTCCGCACCTTTTTTAGGAGTTGTTACCCCACCCTAGAGAATTACCATAATAAATACCAATTTAATCGCACTCAGTCACCGCGCAGTTTTCGTTTTCTTTGTTTGTTTTCATTTTTAGGCAGATGTCAAAAACGCTCAGAAATATACTTTTTTCTTCTTCTTTGATTAGGTGATCCTCAAGAATGATAGAATACAAGATTGCGCCGATCGGAGAGGATTATTGAGAATAACTTGTGTGTGACGTCACACTGGTGCAATTGCGAGAGAGAAATGCCAAAACGTGAGCAAGAATGGAAGAAGAAGAAAAAATGTTGCGTCATGCAAACAACGATTCTGTCAAATTCGTTAAGAGTGGAATAGCGGTCCGAGATCGGCGCAACCTTTGTATTCTCTCAATCGTGGGTGATCCTGTATTTTTGGTTTATGGTACAGTTCTATAACTAACGTAACTCTACTTCTTACCATTTTTTCTGGCAAGCTGTAGGTATGTTTTTGGTTAGAGGTTGCGGTTTTTGGTTCACTGTGCTAATGTATTTTGTATAAATTGTTACAGAAATGGATTACATTGTAATAGAAATGAAAGAAATTGTAAAAGACAGGTGCAAATGCCTAAAACAGGTGATCTCAGCAGTAGGGATTTTTTTGGCAATTAGCTGTTAGTGCTTTTACTTAGCCAACTGTACAATGATTGTAAGGCAGTCTGTACACGGGCGTATGGATTAAGCCGCCTATTAGATGCTACATACGAAAGTTGTACGCTTTGATGCCGAACCCATGTATTTAAATGCGAGAGCTGCACACGAGTCGTCAGCTCCACGAATCCGTCAAAACAAGATAGCTGCAAATCGTCTGGCGTACTGCAGTGTTGGTAGCTAGGCATACGTCCGCTTAGAAAAGAGTAAGAAAAAGAAGTTTGTTTAGAATTTCCCATGTGCGTGCATGCATTTCATAAAAAAACTGATAAAACAATAAAATTCGTGCAAATGATTGAAAAATAGCAGAAAATGTATTAAAGAAATAATAATTTTTCATCAATTAACATTTTTTGCGCCTCATACTTTGACGCTTTGAAGTCGCTTCGTGTGCAGATCTTGAGGTGTAGAGGAATCGGTGCTGCATAAAAAATTTAATACGCGTCTGAATCTAAACGACCAGTGTGCAGACTGCCTTATTCATCATTATGCATATTGATCGTGAGACGGGGCCCTATTTTTATATTGAACGTGTGACAGGCGTCTTGGAAACTTCAAACTATTAAACATACCTTTTGTGTATGTTTGGCGCGCTAAAATTTAATGTGCTTGGCAGCAAAGTTTATCTTGTGAAATGGATTCTACCTTGGGACGTGGGTTTTATGAGGTATATTGTTCCTCTAAAGAAATACTGAAGAACAAACAAAGGCATTTGTTTTGTAATGTGAGTATGTACAGTATTTAAAGGAAACGATTACTAAATATTGTGTTTTTAGATGTTGGATCTTTTATCCAACACCAGCAAGAGCACCCCATCGCCAGTGATTGCGAAGATAATACCTTCTAATGATTTAATTCGCTTTTGGGTAGATGATGTATTACCTTTAGTTTTCGACGAAGATCTGTCGATACAAGGCTGTGCTGTATCTGCTTTGGAGCAAGGGTTATCGACATTAGAAATTGGAAATATTCACAGCCATAAAGAATGGAATAATGTTAAAAACTCGATTGTTAAGGAATATGCTTGCAAAATACATCGATTGAGGGAAACCCGGAACCAATACTGGAATCGTGTTTGGTGTATACTGATTCGATTGCTTGATCGGGAGATTTTAAAGAGCGCCAGCACTATAAACTTATTTTTGTCCATTGTTGAGCTTGGATTCCGAAGCCCTGATAATAATGTACGTGCAGAAGCTTTTACATGTTGGCATCTTCTTATTCAAATTTTCGCTACTCATAATCAATTGTCGTCACCAAAAAGGCTAAAATTAGTTTGCATACCTCTTAAATCGTCGCAGTCAAAAACTCCATACGTAGCAGCCGTAAAGTTGCGAATCTGGTGGTTCTTGATCACATGCTTGGGTCCACAGATAGAAGAGCATTTTGAAAATGTTGTTGAAGCATTTCTTATATTCTGCTTCGGATTGGAATCGAAAAGCACACCTGGCGTATGTCAGCAATACGTAACAATACGTGAAATGGCATTGACATGTTTAGCTTCCATCGTAACCACAGAGCAAGACGACTTTCTGCACAGACTATTACAGGAGTATGAGATGGAATCATGTAAACGAACACCATACATAAACTCTAATATTATTGATAAACATTGGAAGTCAATATTATATGCTGTACTAGAAGCTACAAGTTTGGTCATCGAAAGTGAAAAACAGAGTGATATTGAGGATCGACTGTTAAATGTGATCATTAAAAGTACAACTTTAATAGTGACTAGGGGTGATATGGCCCCATTATATGAGTATTTTTGTTCTGGTTTAGGGCAAATTATGATAAAAAGTTGCCGGCCGATGATAATAGTCGCCAACGTGATTGCAACCGAAGGACTTCGTTTTTCACATTCATTACTTAATTTTGATAATTATGCGAAAATATTAAATTGCTTGATAAAATTTTTGACATTAATTCGCGAAACGGTAGATGCTGTTACTATTCAGCATTGCACTACCAGAATTTCAAATTTAGAATGCTTTCTACCAAAACGTCTTTGTTGGCGTGCGGTGGAGGTCATAGCTGATTATTTCTTCAAAATGCCAAACGATGAGGGTTTTGAATATTTTGAAGTAAAATTCTTAATATGGCGCGATATTTCATCAGAAATGGTGAATTATATACGTCATAATACATTTGGTCGATCTGCTGAAGAATTTATTGACGTGTTAATATCATGGAGCTTATGGCCTCTACGTATGATAATAGAATTTACTGGACGCCGGGAAAGTTCTATTTTTGATGAACATTTTTATTTGCTATGGCACAACTTGCTTCAACTGACGGAGAGCACAAGTGGTAGAACACAACATTTATTAGACGTGGGCGAAGTTTTAAAGGCCTGTCTAAAATCTGGTTATAAATTGGGAGTTTTCATCCATCTTTTTAATGCATATTCGGAAGAAGTAATGAAACATGATTATCGTGGCTTTCCTATACTCTACGAGCGATTATTTTCAATTTTGTGTGAAGTAATTCAGAAGAAAGTACCCCAAAAAGAGAAGGAAAAACTTCTTACACTGTTAAGATGTGTTCTGCATGGTTTAAAATCTCCAGAACAGAGCTCGTTGATGCAGACAATCAAATCCACACTTAAACATTTCTTACGCAGTTCATCAAAAGGAGGAGTCGGCTCGAAGTTTTTTTGAGGAGTGGAAGCAATCTATTATAAATATAGCTCGTTCTTCTATGGATAGAAATTATATAAATATGGTTACAGAATTATTTAAGGATGATGTATATGTTATAATTCCATCAGTATGGAGCCTGAAACCAGAGAAATTGACTGATAGACAAAAAGAACGTTTAGCTGAGAAAAAATAATATTCCAGCATTATATAATGACATGAGTCAGTCGCAGGATTCATTAATAAAACCTTGGACTCCGAAGAAATTAGTAATAGCCAAGGAAGATCAAAATGAAATTGTTATAGAGGGTTCAAATAATAGGCAAAAGGAGGGTAACACGAATGTGCCGGAATGTTCCCAAAGTGGCGTTTCGTTTAGCTTACCAAAGGCTTGCTTAGACATGGCTTCAAGTAAACGGAATGTAGAAGAAAAGTTCTTAACATCGATGAGCACTAACAAAGAAAATGTGCAAGACGTTCATAGCAACAACGCGGATAAATTACTTGACCTACAAACGACTGAAGCGAATCCGAATACATTCTCTGCTGCTGTACAACAAATTAAAAAAAAACGAAAATTCACAGCAGGTTAGTAGTTTTTTCGGTCCTATTAATATATTTTTTTTATTTATTCAATATATGATGTACATTTTACGGACTATGGTATTAGATACAAATGTACATAATTCATTAAAAAAAATTTAAATCAATTATACCTCAGACTTAGAATAACAAGAATCAGGTACGGACATAAATATAAATCTTAGCGATGAAAAATCAATATCTAGTGTTCTATAGACGTTAATAAACTCTCTAAAGCGTACCAAAGATTGAGGTACGTGGAACTGCGAAATTCTGTGAGGAATATAGAAATCTATCTGTACAATAAGACCAGGGAAGTCAATTCTCCCAGATATCGGAATAATGGGTCGATTATCGATAGCAACTGAACTTCAGTTGCATTGCTAGTTGCCGAAACGGTGCCCCTATTCGGAAATGCAGTAAACCAAAGCAACAGTGCCTTACTTCTAAACCATAATTGCTGGAAAAGCCCAATTTGCGCAACTAAGTTCGGATTCGACATCCACCCGCGTTTGCTCATATTGCACATTTTTATCAATTATAGTTCAGATTTAAAGAGACTGATTGTTGTTGTTGTTGTAGCGGCACTACTAAGCCCCGCCTTTTTCGGGTCTACGTTCAATCATTTTCATCAAGCTCAACTAACGGGAGGCCCAGGAAACGAGCTGTTTCAATGGGTTCGGACCAGAGGGAGAGGGGTGTTAGCTGAGGCCTAACCCCACCCCCCTCATTAAAGAGACTGATGCTTTGTTTTGCTGCAGTTCCGAATATCCCCGATATTCTTCTTGTACTACATACTATACTAGTTTATATTTTTTATCATTATTTCGAACTCGTTTCTGTTCCTTGCCTATTAGTTCTCTTATAGTTTTAAGGCCCATCCATTCTTTTATGTTGTCCAACTATGTAATTTTGCTTCTTCCTGCTCCACTGCGTCCTGCGATCTTGCCCTGTATTAATAGTCTTAAAACTTCATATTTTTGCCCTCTTATAATTTGTGCTAAATAGGCAGTTGTCCTTTGTTTTATCTCTTTTATCAGTTGTCTCGTGGTCTCGGCTCTTTGTAGTACAGTGTCATTGGATATTTTATCCGTCCACTTGATCTTTAGGATCCTTTTGTAGCACCACATTTCAAAAGCTTCCAGTCGATTTATGCTTTTGCTTTTTAGTGTCCATGTTTCGCATCCATATAAGAGAGTCGACCACACATAGCATTTAACAAATCTGATTTTCAACTTAATCGCTATATCTCTACTAGTGAGTCTCTTCCTCACGTTATTAAATGCTGCTCTTGCTGCCTCTATTCTGCCGTTGATTTCATTGTCATACTCCCACTTGTCATTCAGCCAACTGCCCAGATATTTGAAGCTTTTTACTTTTTTCTATGTTTGTATTATTTAATGTCAAATTAACATTAGAGTAGTCTTGCCCACTTTTATTTATAATCATGAGTTTTGTTTTTTGAATGTTAATGTCTAATCCAAATTGTGTGCTATGCCTTTCCACTTTGTCCAGTATTCTTTGCAGGTCTGCTAAATTGTTTGTGATCGGGGTTGTGTCGTCAGCGTATCGAATATTATTGAAACACGAGCCGTTTATTGTTATGCCAGTCTCGTCACGTAGAGCATCTTCGAAAATCCTATTCGAATGAATTATGAAAAGGAGCGGCGACAAAATACAACCTTGTCTAACTCCTCTCTTTACTCTAATTTCTTCTGTTTTATTGTCCCCGAATCGGACTTCTGCTGTTTGTCTCCAGTGTAAATTTCGAATACATTGAATGCCATATTGGTTTGTGTCTATCGATTCTAGTGTGTCTATTAGTGTGCGGTGCTGGACTCTGTCAAAGGCCTTTTCGTAGTCCATAAAACATAAGAACACATCTTGGTTGGCGTCTTGGCATCTCTATACAAACATTTGTTCACTGAACAGCGCTTCTATTGTTCCCATGCCTTCCTTAAACCCGAATTGCGTCGCTCCCATTAATAATTATATATCCGTCTATGCATAATTTTTAAAAATATCTCATTAAACTAATGAGCCGGTAGTCTTTACATAGCTTTACGTTTGCTTTCTTCGGAAGCGTCACGAAGGTCGATTTAAGTCATGAGAGGGGATATTCTCCAGTTTTGTATATGTAGTTAAAAGTTTCTAGTAATACATTCATACCTTCGCCGTCAATTAGCTTTATTATCTCCGCTGGTATTTCGTCCCACCGCTTTTTCTTTTTTGACCTTTATTGCATTGATTATCTCTGACTTTGTTATTTCCAAAAATATTTCATCGGTTACGCCCCTAGCTGGTATACTGTCTTCCCTCGAATCGTCCTTGAAGAGTTCGTTCACATATTCCCTCCATAGTTGTTTTTTTTCCTGCTTCGTCGATTATTAATTTATTACCTTTAACTGTTAAAATATTTATTCTAAGTATTACGTTTTTTGTGTTACGAAATTCTTTTAGTTTTTTGTGTAGGTTGAAGTTATCATGTAATTTTTCTTAGCGCTCTATATCTTTACATTATTTTTTTCGTCCACATATTTTTTGCTTAACGTATTTTCCATGTTGTTGTTGTTGTAGCGGCTACAACAACTCCGCCCAGATCGGTTGATATATCAGTCGTTGCCGTCAAGTTCCACCAACGGCAGCCCCAGGAAGCGTGCAGCCTACACTGGGTCGGTCCACAGGAACAAAGCCGTTAGGGTTCATGAGGGGTCTCTCCGCATGCCGGACACTCATTCGGCACATCCGAGTTCAGTCTGCTCAGGTATGAGTTTAACCTGCTGCAGTAGCCAGACCGAAGTTGGGCTGTTGTGGTTCTTGTCTCCCGAGGCAGATGAAACTCCGTCTCGTCACTGTCCGGTGGTTGTGTGCCTAGAACGGCATTCACAGGTCTAGAGTCTACATAACTCGAGACTGATTCCCTGTGAATGCCGTTCAGGGCCTGTCGGTATGCTGACGGGTCCAGAGGCTGCTTAATGAACCTCTGGACTTCGTCCGTCAGTTCGTATAGACGCCTCCTGACGTGCTTAGGCGAGGGCTCCTCTGCAAGCAGCTGTATGTTTGGGTGGCCACATCTGTGGCTCCCAACCAGAAACTGCTTGCAGAGCATTATGTTATGCTCCTTGACCGGGAGCATTTTTGCCTCGTCATGCAGGTGGTATTCTGGCGACATCAGGAGGCATCCAGTCGCTGTCCTGAGTGCGGTGTTCTGTGTTGTCTGTAGCTTGTGATGTGATGGTAACACTGCAACGTTGTTGACGTGTTTGTAATCGCTCTGCGGAAAATTTTTAAAAAACAGCCGAATTGTTGTGATTTTAACCAGCGTTAGAGCCAGTGACTTAAATAGTGAAGTGCTAATAAACTGTGCTATTTGCAAGCACAAAAATTTGTTTCATTCTGATTAAACAAACAAATAAATATAGCTAGAGACATAAAAGTGCAGTGAGGTGACAAAAACAATAAGGCGCGAAAATGGATAAATGCCATAAGTGCAAGAATCCAATTCGCGGTGACAGCGGAATCCGCTGTGATGGTGTGTGTGGTAAAGTGTGGCACTGGGCAAAAAAATGCTCTGAATTGGATGAGTACAGTGCGAATGTACTCAAAGAAAACAACTTTGTGCGCTTTATGTGTAACCAATGTCACACATACATGCATAACATCGATGAGGTGCTCCGAAATATGAACATAACAATAGAGAAAAATAGTCAAAAGATCCAAGAGTGTAATGATGACTTCCAGGAGTCGCAAAAAATGCAAGTGAAAGAGCTTAAACTTCTCTTGCAATCAATAGAGAAAAAATTTGGGGAACGCATTGATGCAATGCAAAGAGTACAAAAAACCTGTGAGGCGAGTATTCTCGAAGTGAACCAAATTAAGTCAATAGCTGACGGCGTAAAAAAGCAAAGCCATGATCTTTGCGAAGCCATAGTGCGCAATGAAAATGAGAACAAAAAAATATGTGAAGAGATAAAGAAATCGGTGACTGCTGACGCGTTAGCAGGTCAGCGGGCGAAAGCCACTTACGCGGATCTCTTTAAAGGTAATACTGCGAAAGATAATAGGCCGCCGAAAGTAAATAAAGAGAAGCCATTAGTTCTACAACCAAAAGAGAAGCAGGAAGTGGGAAAAACAAAAGAAGATTTGAACAAAAATGTTGACCCCTCGGGCTTAAAAATTAATAGTGTACAGGGGAGGAAAAGTGGGGCTGTAGTAATACAAACAGAAAATGAGGCTGAGCGTGAAAAAATCAAAAAGGCAATAGAGAATAAAATGAGTGATAGATATGAAATAAAAATCCCAAACGTAGCCAAGCCAAGGTTCATGGTATATAGAATGAGCTTTAAACATGAGAATGAGCAGCTCAGGGAGATGATAAAAAAACAGAATGAATGCTTCAAAAATGGTAATTTCAAAATTTTGAAATGTTTTGAAACAAAAAAAGGAAATGCAAAACATTATAATGCGTTAGTAGAAACAGATGTAGATGCCTTTGCAGCCGTGCTGGCAAGCGAAAAAATAAACATAGGTTGGGAAAAATGTAGAGTCAAAGATGGAATGGATGTTACTTTCTGTTTCAAATGCAAGGGATTTAACCACATAGCTGCGAAATGTAAAGCCGATGAGGTATGTTTCAAGTGCCTAGATAACCACAAAACTGTGGAATGTTCTAAGGAAACATTAAACAAATGCATAAATTGCATTCGTGCTAATAAAAAATTTAACTTAGGGCTTGATGAAAATCATATGACATTTAACCGACAGTGTCCTGTATACCAGAAAAAGCTCGAGCATAAAAGAAATACTGTAAATTACTAACAATTACAGCAAGTTTGTGGGGACCCTAGCGTTGAGTTTACGTCTCACCCAGGTGTAAAGAAAGCGCTACCCAAATATTTGCAATGCGTATATCTCAATATACAGAGTTTAGTGGCTAATAAAGTTGAGCTAGAAATACTTATAGATTTTACCGACCCGGATCTACTTCTGTGTTCCGAAACATGCCT